TACAATGACCCAATGAGCCCATTGAATATAATTCTAATGTATCATGAGTTGTAGATATAGTGATTTCTAGTAGGGGTTCCCTGAGCCTGGAAAGTTGTTTCAAAGCTTCCTCTGTATTAAAAAGGTTGAGAAGGGCTGGCTTAGAAGCTTAGAACAATACAGTACAGCACAAGAAGACATTGAAAGAAGATAAACCCTAACCAAAAAAAAAAATACTGAGAATTTTAAGGTGCCATACCAATAACAATCATAAACATTATGTAAAAATGAGCTTTATTATACAAAATACAAGACATGATTGTAGTACAAAAGCTAAGCATAACCATGCTCTCTGAAAACATATACAACTACGTCTTGTAACAATAGAGACATTAAGCTGGATGTAAATAACTCCACGATTGTATATTAAGCCAGTGAAGAGATTACATTTTGATGTATAGAACACTGACACGTTTCACTGGGCAAAGCCAGCTTCCTCAGGGAGGTCTAGTATTAATCTCTAGGATCATAAGCAGAACCATAGTAAACAAACTGAAAAAAAAAACCCAGAAAAGATAAAACAGGATACATTGTACATTTTATTAAAGTATATCTATATATCCAAAGAAGTAGTACCTATTTGTTCAAAGTTCACAATGCAAAGAAACTCACTGTGATGGAAAACCACAATCAAACATTCGGGAGGAGGACCAATTCATTAAATAGATTTAAACATATATAGCATAGAGATGAAGCAAATATACAATAGGTCCTATAGAAAAATACATTGAAATGGTCAAAATAAGCAAAGAAAAAAAAAGAAGTACTTAAAAAGGAGGAACAAAGGAAGTAACTTTCTAAACTGAGCTACTTAAATACATGTAATAAATACTCCATCAATAGTGTCTTAAAGGCCCAAACTGTTCTAAACTACACCCCTACTCCCAACACTGATATCAAACAATTCACATGAGGACCCACAAGTCACTTCTATCTTAAGTACTTTTTTTTTTTTCTTTGCTTATTTTGATCTGTTCAATTTATGTTTTCTATAGAACCTATATTTGCTTCCTCTATATGCTATATATTTACATATATTTAATGAATTGGTCCTCCTTCAAAATGGTTGATTGCATTTTTCCATCGCTGTGAGTTTCTTTGCATTGTATTCTTTGAACACACAGGGTACTATTTCTTTTGACATATAGATATATCATCATACAATGTAGAATATATCCTGTTTTGTCCTTTCTGTTTATTTATCATGGTTCTGCTTATGGTCCTAGCGATATATACCAGACCTCCCTGAGGAAGCTGGCTATACAACTCAGAATTGTATTTAATCTCTTCATTGGTGTAATATGTAACCATGGATTTATTTACTTCAAGCTGAATGTCTCTATTATTACAATATGTAGTGGTATATGTTTTAGAGAGCATGTTTATACTTAGGTTTTGTACTACAATTATGCATTTTTAATATTGTATAATAAAGATAATCTTTACATAATATTTATGATTGTTATTATTATTACAGGTACTTATATAGTGCTGTCAATTTATGCAGTGCTTTACATATATATTGTACATTCACATCAGTCCCTAACCCTCAAGGGGTGTACAATCTAAGATCACTAACTCACATTCATACATACACATATTAGGGCCAATTTAGACAGGAGCCAATTAACTTACCAGCATGTCTTAGAAGTGTGGGGGAAACTGGAGTACCTGGAGGAAACTCACACAGGCACAGTGAGAACATGCATGCAATCTCCAGGCAGGTGGTACTGTGGTTTTGATTTGAACTGATGACTGTAGTACTGCCAGGCGGAAGTGCTAACCATTTAGCCACTGTGCTGCCCGGTATGGTACCTTAAAAGTCCCATTAGTTTTCTTGGTTAGAGTTTTGTCTTCTTTTTGTGTCTCTATAATAAAGGATTATAATAAAGGATGTGGTACCAGTAAAACCTATTGACAAGGTAGACACTGGGTTATATATGTCTCCTTCCCCTCTTTTTCATACCGTACTGTACAATCAGGCCATATTAATATTACTGGCAGAGGGCACCTCATCAATGTTGTTGTTATTATTATTAAACTTTACTTTATTGTAAAACTGCTGAGATTATAAACATATAATAATAATAATAATAATAAGCCTGCTGAGGAAGCCCAATCACAAGGTGTAACACATAGAGGTGGGAGGAGCCAAGCAGCCAAGTATTGGGCCAGCCCTCCAAATCATTGGATTCAGGCATTCCAATCCCCCTCCATGGCCACAGGTGTATACAATCAAGCCCCCTGGCATGCAGACTGCTTCTACAAACATCTGTGAAAGAATGAGTCACTCTCAGGAGCTCAGTGAAATGAAGTGTGGTCCTGTGATAGGTTGCCACCTGTGCAATAAGTCCAGATCCCAGATGGATGGATGGATACATGGAGTTTTTTTCCAGCAGGGGGTCTCACAGTTATCAAGAGATCCTTTTCCTCAGTATGGATGGATGGATGGAGTTATCCCTCTTCTCACTAGGGGGTCTCTTGACTCCTTTCAAACGTTTTCCTCCATATGTGTGTATTCCATGTAATTGAAAGAAAATATATAGTGCCTTATCCTCTTTTTTAAAAGATTTATTAAATATTTATAATGCACTCACATAGGAAACAATAAAAAAAGCCTTTGATACAATTTTGCTTTGTTTAGTAAGTTTTTCTCACTCCCATCTACTTGCTGTGTGTTATGCCTTTAAGCATTCCCCCTGATGAAGCCACGTGACCCGGTGGCGTAACGTGTAGGGGAGGGGCTCTGACATCACGATGCTTAAAGGCATGTGAGTGCATTATATATATTTAATAAATATTTTAAAAAAGAGGATAAGGCTTTATATATTTTCTTTCAATTACATGGAATACACACATATGTGTTTAAAAGGAGCTAAGAGACCCCCTAGTGGGAAGAGGGATAACTCCTTCCATCCATCCGCCTCCAGGAGAAAGATCTATAGAAAACGAGGAGATCTGCTGCTGGGAAAAAGGAAAAACTCCATTCATCCATTCATCAATCTGGGATACGGGATTTATCCATATGTCCAAATCTGGGCCCAATTAAAGGGACACAAGCTTATATGACCTCACTTAATGGTTTTGTCATATGCATCAGGTGAGAGCACAACTGGTGAAGGAGCACAGCATACTATATATACATTTGGTGGACTATATTTTATTTATTTATAGTTCAATACACTATAGAAGACACTATAAGATCACAAATTGTTTTGAGGATTTTTTCTGAGGACTTGATATGTGAAGATATGTATGCAGCACTAGTGTGACTGTTAATATCATATTATGGAAATGTATTAAGGACTGATTATATGGTTTTGCACTTATTGATTTGTGTATATTGTTAGTGGAGCCCGTCACATATTGATTTTTAAACTCTTATTGGTACGTTACTACTCTGTTAATGCAAATGAAAACTCTCTGGATTATTGGAAGTTTGCAAATCGTATTTTTTCATTCCCTATTTTTTGTTCTTTTCTGTTTCTATTTCCTGTTATTCTGAAACTCCAATAAAGAATTATTCAAAGCAGAGTTTAATATGCAATTTCTGTCATCAGTGTCCAAAAAAAATACACTTATTTATTTATTTTTACTGGTGCTAAATGCCTGCTCAAGATCTCAAAAATTGTCCCCTTTTCAAAAAGCCTCTCTGGTTGTGGTGTAATCCTGTATGCTCTTTCCATCTTAGGTGTCCATATGATACCTATATTTGTTTATTAGCTGTGGTTTGATTAAAAAGACTTTTTAGCTATAGCACAAACCTAAACACTATTGCCATTGCCGGTGACCAAAGAAAGACACTATATATTTTTTACATATTCTCAGAAATTATGCCTTTTCAAAAAGTCTTTCTAGCTGTGATTGTACAGTTGTATGCTATTTCCATCATGGGTGTTGAAAAAAAATACAGTAATATTTTTTTTACAGATGCTAAATGACTGTGCAGGTTTTCAGAAGTTGTGGCCTGTTCAGCTGTGCTGCAAACCTGTATGCTATTTGCATCTTCGGTGTCCAAAAAAATAATTATTTTTTTTTTTCTATTGATGCTAAATGTCTGCTCAAGCTCTCAGAAATGTTGCCCTGTCCAAACAGGCTTTTAAGCTGTTATGAACATTTTTTTTGCTAATTCCTTTGTTGGTGTTAAAAAGCTTTATCATTTTTAAATTCTAAATGCATGCCCAAAATTTCATAAATTGTGGCCTGTTCAAAAATGCTTTCTAGCTGTGGTGCAAATCTGTATGTTTTTTCCATTGACAGTAAAAAAAAAAAGACACTAATAATTTTTTTTTTCAGATGTTAAATACCTGCTTCAACTTTTTTTTTCCACAATACATTTTTATTTGGTTTTACAAATATAGTTACAACAAAAAAAAAAAACAAAACAAAAATAGGACAGTGAAAAGCTACACAATATCACAGTATAAGTGTTGCGGTAAAGTTTAACAAAGAAAAAAAAAAAGGAAATATTGAATAATTCCTAACAAACCTACTAGTTCCACGAAATAATCATTTTAGAGTATCCAAAAAAGGTTAAACATAATGATATCTGAGGTTACAGTTCTGAACCAGTCGGACCAGGGTTTCCAAGCTTTGTCAAATTTGGTAATTCTATCGTTTAGGTAAGCTAAAGATTTCTCATAGATGAAGTGGGTCTGGACTCGCTCAATGACTTCTTTTAGAGAAGGGGCTAAGTCTTTTTTCCAGTGTCTAGTAATGGTAAGTCTTGATGCTAGAAGAATATGTGTCACTAAGAGTCGATAATGGATTGGATATGTGTAAGGGATTTCCGGCTAAGAGAATCGCGTTTGGGAACGCGCATGCGCAAAAGAGAAGAACGCTGCAGCGCATGAATCTGCGCTGTACAGGCAGGTGGGCACTAGGACCCAGGCGCACCTGTCACCAATGACGACACTGGGCAGGCACTAGGACCCAGGCGTGCCTGTCAGCGCTGGGCGGCTATTTAACCACCTCCCGACCGGCCATTGCATATAAACGGCCGGACGGTGGCAGTGCAGGGTCGGGTGGCCGTTTATGAACGGCCTTCCCGCACCCTGCTTGTGCGCGTTCCCTGGGCAGCACGCAGCACCGCGATCCGGTGCCCACTGTGTCCTCCGGACACAGCGAAACACCGATTGTCGGACGGGACCTCTGTACGAGGTCCAGATCATGTGATCACTGATTGGCCAATCAGTGATCACATGCAAAGTAGTAAGCAAGATGTCACTTGTGACATCATTGCTTACTACGTGTGAAATCTGTGAATGATCACAGAGGTCACATGGCACAAGGCTATTCACAACAGCCTTGTACCATGTGACAAGGTGTAACCAATCACAGCTCACTCAGTACTTCTCAATGAGTGCAGGAATGCACACAGAGAGAAAGAGAAATGATTGCTTTTACATCCTATATGGATGTAAAAGCAATCAGTGTAAAAAAAAAAAAAAAATCTTCATCACCCCCCACAAGTAGTACAGTGTCACCATGGTGACACTGTACTGCTAGGGTGACAGTATGTAAAAAAAAAATAAATAAAAAATAATAATATAAAAAAAAAAAATAAAAAAAAATGTAAAAAAAAATGTTTAAAAATGATAATTTTTGGTTATAAACTAATTTGTTTTTGTTTTACTAAAAAGATAACGGAATAAATTTTGGCAAAGATTTATGATGAAATATTATTTATTTGCAAAATTGTATAAAAAAAAAACACTTTTGTTCAAACTTTTTGGACTTTTTCATTTACATAGCAAAAAAAATCCCAGCGGTGAAAAAATACCACCAAAATAAAGCTTTATGTGTCTCAAAAAAATGGTAAAAAATTAATTTGGGTACAGTGTTGCATGACTGCGCAATTGTCATTCAAAGTGTGATAGCGCTGAAAGCTGAAATTGCCCTGGTCAGGAAGGGGGTAAAAGTGTCCGGTCTGGAAGTGGTTAAAGAGCACCTTGGTGCTAATTCAGTGCTGACTGGTCTTCAGCTTCCCCCCCCGTGTCCTGCTTGCTTCTGAACATTTCCTTGTTGCTGACCCGGCTTGCTCCTGACCCGACTCCGACTACTCTCCTGCTCCTGGTTCCTGACTCCGGCTCTGTTCTTGACTCTGGCTTCTCTCATGCTGATTTTGTACCTCGCTGCCCGACGGTTGATGACCCTGGCTACTCTATGACCCTGCCCCTGTCCTGGCTACCTACATTTCCCTGCTGCACATCGGGTATTGCACAGAACCTGCTCTGCCTGCTATTCCAGTAACCAAATCAGAGGATATTCTGCCTACCAAAGTCATCATCTGCAAGAGCCGCAAACAACCACCACTGGCGCTCTTGTCCCCCTGGTCCCTAGACTCCCTCTGTTCCAACCTCAGCAAGGTCAGGGCTAGTGACACAAGTGAGGCCGACCTCGTCAATTCAGTCTCTGATCAGGTACGTGACAATATGTATCTATATTTATATTCAGAATGGCTAGGGTAGGATCTGCTTGTTTTAATATCCCAGTAATTTCCGATATCATGTGGAAGACTTTATACCAATAGCTTCTAATATTTTCACATGTCCATAATATATGTAATGGAGTACCAATCTGACCACAGTTTCTCCAGCATTGAGGACTATGTTGTTTTGAGAATTTGACCATTAGGTAAGGAGTTAGATACCATCTTGTGTAAATTTTGTGTATTAGCTCCCAAAGGTTAGCAAATCTAGTAGCTGAAAACACATTCCTGAATGCACATTCCCACTGCTCATTAGAGATTTAAGATCTCTAAGTCTTTTTCCCACTTGATTAAGGGAGTAGTCTTATTAAATTCTGATTTACATTGTAGAAGGTTATAAAATAGGTTATAAAATAGGGTTATACCACCTGATTTCGGAGTAGCAGAGCTATGGATCTGTAAATATACTTTGGGTATATATATTGTTTTTACTGGATGTTTCAATAGGCAACTACTGATATGTGTATAGGTTGGTTTTTCAGAAGAGAGGAGGTTAAATTCTTTCATAAGGAATTCTAAATTTTTTATATTGTTTTCAACACAAATATCTTGTATTGTGCGTATGCCATTATGTTTCCGATTTGAGGTATCTATGCTCGGCATTACGACTTCTAAGGCTGTTATAGGTGTAGGAAGAGGACTTATTCAGAGAGGATCTATAGGCATGGAGCTAAGGATTCCCAGCTTCAATTGAGGCTCGTACAGTTGGTGTTGTTTTACTGTAGAAGTTGAAAACCCAGATACTCCTGCGCTTGGGGATGGACTCAATGTCATTGGGACCACATAACGAAATTCTTGGGATATGCACGCCTTGCTGCCCTCAAAGGACCGAGGAGTCCAAATATACTGAACAGAGAAAAACAAACAGAGGGCGCACCGGCCTAGTGCATTACCTTAAAAGTAAGTTTATTGAATGTTAAAAAATAAGTATTCTACTCACAATAGTCAATAAATAAAAGGCACATCATGAAGGAACAGCTCTGTCCAATTCGCACTGCGCATCTGTCTTATGATGAGAATTCTGGACATTTAAAAGGCTTATGCATTTCTAGCCTCTTCCCCAGAGCCCAGGTATTGTTTTTCTAGTTGGAATCCTTTGCCATGAGCTCCCTAGTAGTATGGCACTTACATCGGTAGTAGAGGCTAGAGTTTTTTCAATGTCACCCCATTTTGTATCATCTTCCACTATAAACCAATGTTTGAGTTGGTCTAATAATGATGCTTTGTGATAGTCCCTAATGTCAACAAATCCCATTCCTCCTAATTTTTTGTGTTTGATTAATATATTATGTTAGCATCTATGTCTCATATTTCCCCAGATGTATTTTTTAAGCATAGATTGTAGTTTTGCTAGATATGAAGATTTAATTGGGATTGGAATTGATCTGAATAGATATAAAATCTGTGGCAATATGAACAGTTTAAATGCGGCCAGTCTGCCAGACCAGGATAGTTCATGTTTAGCCATTTGATTGAGGCGGGTTTGAATTTTTGGATTGAATTTAGAATAATTGAGAGTTCCTAGGTCAGAGGTTTTGTTTGTCAACAATATTCCAAGATAAGGAATGGCTTCATTTTCCCAGATGTAGGGAAATTTGTTTTGGAGGTGCATTTTTAGAATGTGATCTACACCCAGATTTAGGATATTAGATTTGGATGCATTTATTTTATAATATGAAATATTACTGAATTGTATGAGAGTTTGTTGAATTGCTGCTAAAAAGTAAAGGGATTAGTTAGCATTAAATGATGTCATCCGCAAAGAGCGTTATTTTGTGGTGGTTTTTACCCATATAGAAGCCATGTATATCTGGATTGTTTCTTATAGTTGCATCAAAAGGTTCAATTGATAGGTTAAAAATGAGTGGCAACAATGGGCATCCTTGTCTGGTACCATTTATAATTAGGAATGGTTTGGATAGCATGTCAGATACATAGACTTGGCCTGAAGGGTTGAGTAAAGTGCTGAAATGGCATTAATAATTGTTCCTGAAAATCCAAATGTATGCAGTACTTGGAACATGTATGTCCAGTGTATCCTATCAAAAGCCTTTTCGGCATCCAGGGCAAGTAATAAGGAGGGATCTTTATGTGAGTCTGCGTAATGAATTATGTTGATTAGTCCCCGGGTTGCGTCAAATGTTTGTCTACCTTTAGTAAAGCCTAACTGATCAAGCTTGATCAAATCTGGGAGTATATTGGCCAGTCTGCACTCTATAATTTTAGCGTAAATCTTAATATCAGTATTTAAAAAAGAAAGAGGCCTGAAATGTTGTGGGCTGTCGGGATCTTTACCTGATTTGGGGATTGTTACAATTAATGCTTGTAGCATTTAGGAAGGTAATGAGGTGGAAGAAAACACGTCAGTGTATAGTTGGTTTAGATGAGGATTTTTTAACATTTTATAGTATTCGCTGGAAAATCCATCTGGTCCCGGATTTTTGCCATTGGGTAGTTTTTCTATTGTTCTGTTTATTTCATTTATTGTGATAGAGGAGTTTAAGATACTCAGTTGTGATTTCGAAAGAGTGGGTAAGTGAATGTGTGATAAAAACGCTTGTATGTTTTCTATAGAAGGTTGGAGAGTGGATTTGTCTTGATTTAGGTTATAAAGCGAATCGTAGTAACTAGCAAATGAATTTGCTATTTCTTGAGGATTAGTGATTTTAGTTTTATCTTTTGGGTTGATAAGATACGGTACAGGGGCGGACTGACCATTTGGAAACTTGGGCACTGCCCGAGGGCCGAGGTCAGTAGGGGGCCCCATGAGATGCCCCTGGTGCCTTTTTAATAGGCTTTTTTTACTTTGGGCAAGGACACAGGGGCCCCATGATCCCCTATTGCCTGGGGGCCCCATGAGTTCTCAGTCCGCCCCTGATATGGTATTTTAGTTCTAGTATGCAGGGATTTCATTTTATTCGCTAGGTATTTCCCTGCTTTGTTTCCATTAGAGTAGTAGCTGAGTTTTAATCTTTGCGTACTTCTATCAAATTGGTACATTAGTAAGGAGCGTAATTCGTTCCGTAGTCTGGAGAGTGTATTCGAGGTGGTTTGATCGATTTGAGCTTTATTTTGCATTTCTAGTTTGCGAATATCCTGTAGTAAGTCATGAAGCTGTTCATTTCTTTGCTTTTTAGCTTTAGCGCACATTTGTAAAATGATACCACGTATATATGCTTGGTGAGCTCACCAAAGGGGGCCAGAGTTTGATACAGATTGCAAATTTATATGTAAAAACTCTGCAAGATGTTTTTCAAGTATCAAGTTATTGTTGGGGATTTTTATAATAGACTAATTTACGCACCGGAGGTTGTCATATCAATAAGTGGTTATCCGTAATAGTGATTGAAACCAGCGCGTAGTCTGACCACATTATATTGCCTATGGATGATGTGGTCACATTTTGCAGTAGCCATTTATCTACCAATATAAGGTCAATTCACGAATAAGATTTGTGTCTAGCCAAAAAAAAAGGTGTAATCTCTTTCAGCTGCATGTTGACACCTCCAAACCTCATAGCCATCCTCATTTATTAGAAAGAGGTACAGGGTGGGGTAGTCTTTTTTGAGATTTTGTTGAGTTTAGGTTTCTGTCAACTATGAGGTTGAAGTCACTGCATAGTATAAGGCAGTGTTTCTCAACTCCAGTCCTAATGGACCCCAACAGGTCATGTTTTCAGGATTTCCCTCAGATGAAACAGCTGTGGTAATTACTAAGGCAGTGAAACTAATCAAATCACCTGTGCAAAATAATGGAAATCCTGAAAACATGACCTGTTGGGGGTCCATGAGGACTGGAGTTGAGAAACACTGGTATAAGGGAACCA